CAGCCTATTGGGTGGTTATTGCAGAACCACTTGCTGCAGGTAGAACTGGGATTCGGCTCTCCACTCTCTGCGCCTGTTGAGGCGCCCGTACAGTGTTTTAGGGTCAAAACAAAATTTCGTCGCTAAGTCCTGTTGGTGCTGGAGTTTGTCTTCACGAACCAACGACGCAGTGGTTTCGTTGAGTTATGTAGGCACCCCAGGGCAGCACAATTGGACAGACTTTATAAGCGCGCCAAGCTGAATACCTAATGGCCACGCAATTTTGAGTCCGGCTCCTTAGGAAAAACGTTTGCCTGTTTAGAGTGAAAGACTTCGGTTTCCGACGCATTTGCCAATAGCCCGATGAAATGAGTAACAAACTCCTTTCAGACGACATCGGGCTGCTGCTCGGCCAATGTAACCTGCCCCACAGGAACAAGAAATCGAGTAAATGCACACTGATTTGGCACGGACCGGCCTCTTATCTTGGTGGCTAGTTTTAAGCATTGGGCTACTGGCGAACTGGATTTGCATTTTAGCTGCTGGGAAAGTGCGTCTGAGGGCATGAGAAAGGCGACGAGTTATGATTTCAGCAGCTATTTCTTCCTTGTATGGTAGTTGGAGAAGTGTGGGTTTTCTCTGAGTTACAGGAGCACTTTTCATTTTCCCCATGTTAGCTTTCAGGAAACTGTCAGGGTAACCATTTTGTATCAGCGTCGAACGTATGCGCTTCAGTTCTTCAGGAAACGTTTCGTTTGAGCAAATTCTTTCCACTCGACTCATTAGACTGAGGATCAGGTTCAGTGTTGATTTCAATGTGACGAAACTGTGGAAATTTAGGTATTGTCCAGTCCACATGTGTCGCCTATACACGTGACGTTGTAACGCGCCACTCTCGAGTCGCTTCATTGTCACGTCGAAGAAGTGAAAATTACCATTTACTTCTACTTCGGAGGTGAATTTCAGCGCTTCGTGTGCGTGATTTCCAAGTCAAGTCAAAATAGGCTTTATACACCTAAATAGGTGCATTATCAGCGTTTACACTATCACTGCAGACAGACTAAATGAATGGGACCAGTTAAAAATACATAAACATGAATTCATAGGTAAGATCCTCGATGATTTGAGATGAACGGGGCAGTACAAAGATATCGTCGACGTAACAGCGGTAAGTACTGAGGTTGGTGACGACCGATTTTAGCTTCCCCGACCAAGCATGCCGATGAACATGTCAGCGAGAAATGATCCAAGTGGAGAGCCCATAGCAACTCCATTGCGCTGTCAATACAATTCACCGTTAAACGGTGCACGCATGTCACCAATGTCGCCGAGCTCGGATAAAGCATAATACCGCAGTGAAACACGAGCACATCCAGAACTTAAGATGTTTTGTTTACTCGGCCCGATAAAGCCGAGGGTACAGTTGTTAGGAACAAGGCAGGTTACATCCAGAAAATGAACCAAACATTGGCAGATGATACCAAGTTTTCGAAGCTGCTTACTGAGAAGGACAAGACAAAGCAGATCGAAAGTCAAATCTGCAACTGTCTCAAGAAACATAGGGACGGTGGCTATAACAGTGAAAATCTACGCCCCACAGGCACCATAATTCCTAGACTACATGGTTTTCCCAAAACGCATAAGCATGACGTCCCCCTACGACCAGTCTTAGATATGAAGAACCTACTGTACCACTCTACTCTGCGGTGGTTGGTTGAGCTTCTGTAGTCTACTCAATAACCAGTTGCTGTCCACAACCTTAAGGACAAGAGCCGGAATTGTGTGTTCAGAAGTTAAAACTGCGTTGGCACACCCGATCTGCGACATCCGGCTCAAGGAATTGTGTGCACGTTGCACTTGTGACTTGACGGATAGTAACTGGGCTTGATCAGTGACAGTAAACCGAACTTATCTTACTAACTCTTATGTTGTGTCAAACATTTTGCTTCTTTCCACATAGAATTGTACAAGCCTGAAGAGGCATTATTGAAAACATATGTTCGCTTGCATCGAGTTTTAATCATCCAATGGGATTTTTTTACTACATGTGACCTGATTGTTCAATGCTACTTTGCTTATTTGTGGTCGTGTGTCCAACGCTGTCATGCGTATTTCGGATGGCAGAATTTCACACACTATGCCACATTTCGATCGCCTCTTCTGCCATCAGTTTGGATTGTAACGTCATGTCCATCACTAGTGTTCCAGGCTCATTGTAGATAGATGATAAGGTCAAGTCTTAATGTCAAGCTGGCGACCACATTTTCGAGTTTGAGCACTTAGCGGATGAAGCGCCACTCTTCTCAGTCATGCGCTTTGAGCTCTAACTCATTTGAATTTTGAAACTCGGGGACACTGTGGACTAGGATCGATTTTACGCCTTCTATTAGGGAAGTCATCCGGATTTTGTTGGCGTTTCTGACGTATGCCTCAAGGAATATCTGAAAAAATTCGAACGGGTCGTGGAGTGGTACGGAGGTGAGTGGCTGACAACATGATTGTCTTTGCAGCTGTTTTTGACTATATTAATTACAGTATCCGCGATTCACCGTACCGCACGGAATTTGGGTGATGGACGAAGCGCACCATACTGGCCCGTTGCGCTTGGACATCTATCAATGACAAACTCTCACTGTTTCCGGTCGTCTAGCGGCTTGTCTATCATGAAGTTTGCCTCGGATCGAAGCACAATGGAGCACATAACAGTTGGAGAATTATGATATTGTCTCATGTGTTCTTTTTTGAAGGGATGTTTGGCTGATTTCTTTGGTTGGAAAACAGATGACATATGGGGTCCCGTGGTGGCGTTGGTAGCACAAACTGGACCAAGTTTAGCAGCGGGTGGGGCTGCGATGGACGGTGCCGCTATCAAACGAGCGGCAACAGTTGACGCCAACAGTATTCGATGTGACGCGTGGCTCTGATGAAGCGTGTGCTACGAACGTATATATGGGAGCAGCCACTAACATCTACGTGGCTATCATTGGATCGTTGCTCTTACGTTCGTCCTCTCTACTGTGCTCTGTTTCCGATGCATAGATTCGTTCGGTTGCCTTGGCACGGCTCTCATGGCGACTGCTTGCTCTATAATTTGTGCCGGTCGGTAGTAGTTCGGCGCCAACATAGCTATACATCTGACGAATGGAATAGCCGTGCATGTAGTGCAGAACCAAAAGGAATCGGTCGTATTATTACCTGAGACTGAAGCGTGAAAATTTCGAATGGAATTTCCCACAACCGTTAGAGCGTTCTAGTCCAAACCGCACATGTTCAACGCAGATTCCTTCGCTCCATTCCGAAGCGTTAGGCTTAGTGTTCGGTGGGCAGGCAGTGCGCACCATTACGATCTTCAATTCCTTGAATGTCACACGTCGTAAGTCCAGCCCGAGCAGGAGGAACCCAAACGTTCTCGGTCAAAGTGGTAGTGAGGCTGACACCCTTGGTATTATTGTTCTGAGTGATTTGCTAGGCCATAAACACTTCGGGGCACGTTCGTGAGTTGACAGCAAAGTCACAAGGAAAGGGTGAGGCGGTATGTTTAAACGTTTGCAGTGTGTCGGCAACATGCGGCCGTGCCCGTAATGCAGTCGCACGGTGATATGGTAAACGGATCTACGTAGCTTGGTCTACTCACCGTAAGGCGAACTTGCCTAGACACTGGGTAGCGGTCCGCTGCGGGGAAAACGTAGATTACTCTGTAGATGCGCAGAGAGAGTTGGGTTGGAACGAGTGATGGCTTATTCGAAGGCTGTTGAAATGCTCTATCAAGTGAGACCAATGTTGGAGTTCGATGACGGAAGTTGCGCAATTTTGCTCGGGGGTTACAGTTCCCGGGTAAATGTGGTATGCATCGTTAGTGTTTAGATCAATCCATTGTTGCGCTGCTTTCCTCAAAATGAACGCTGACTCTCCGTAAGATATCGTATTCCGCTTTCTCTCTGCAATGTTTATGATGGCTAACTGACATTCTTCGTGCAGACGCTGCCGGCACGAAGATCGTAGAAACACTGTAGACATGGCGCACACATTTCGAAGGACTCTTGAACAGCCGTCGAGAGACTGACTGGGCTATGTTGCAAGGGATGCAACAAGCGATAGAGATATGTCTCGCCGACACACAGACAATGTATGAGACGCAGAGAGCACTTGCTCAGCTGCGAAATGGCAAGTGAGCTGGAGCCCATGGAAAAACGGCGGAACAGAAATTATACCTGCGTTGCATCATGTGGTGCAACGTCTGTGGACTGAAGAGGAAATGCCAACCGAGCTGAAGGGTGGTCTTGTGCTACCACTGTACAAGAGCAAAGGAAACAAGTAATGTGCCAAGTGCTAAGTTGTGTAGGGAAGGTGATATCGCGAATCCTGCGCAACCGAATTGTCACTCAGGTCCTTGAACCGTTCGAGTTGCATCACCATAGATTTAGTGTTCGCAGCTCGTCGACTATGAGAGAAAGGCCACGAGCAAGCCAGCCATTGTACTCGCTGTTCATCGACTTCACGAAGATATATGATGCGGTGAACCGCGAGGCGCTGTGGCTAGTGTTGGGTAAGTCTGGGTGTTCGGGTAAGTTTGTAAGTCCTATTAAATGCTTCACAGTAATATGCGGCGGGTGTAAAGCAAGGCTGTGTGTTAGTTCCTACTCTGTTTACTATTAACCTAACTGCGAAGATATCTTGCGCTTTTCACGCATTCAAATACTGTGTACATCCCGATCGCTGTATCGGTGGTGTCGAACATCCATCGTTCCGTTGCGAGAACCCGAGTGCGTGAAACAACCATCCGGATATTGTTGTTTGCATACAACGAAAATGCTTTCCAACGTATGATGACGGCTCTTGCTTTGATGACGGTCAAGTTCAGAATATCTTTTTCAGCTCTCACCGGGATTACAAACACTAGGCTGTACAGTAGCAAATACGGCGATTTGCATTTCTTTATGCCTTATAAAGACCCGGTTGTTGTAATAATGAACGGGTGTTGTTGAGCACAGTAGTTAACTTCCGGCCTTGTTTTGGTTTGACTCTGGAGTATTACGAATTGTTCGAGATCCAAGCGAATCACTTACATCCACGATGCACGGCTGTGGATATGCGTGAAATTCAGCGACATTAGGAACAATAGAGTCGAAGGGAGTAGTTGGGAATAAAATTCGGGGCAACAAAGTTCCTAAAAATGTATTACAAAGTGTTTCTTTTTACAACTTAGGATTCGTTCACAGGATACCCATCAAGAGAGCAAACCTAAGTAATTCGAACGTGGATAGATATCTCTTAGCTCTGGCCACTGTACAATAATGTCAGCAAAGCGGCAGTGATATAGTATTTTTCCTGTGAGAGAAAGGGTCTTTGTCCTGCATACACTTTCCACGTAGGCAACGACCAGTTTGTGCCCGAAGATGAGCTGAATGAAGTAGAAGGGTGGTAGTTGGTATTAGAGAAGATAAGAGGGAAAACAGACGAAAACATTTATCCACGATGACAACGCAGCGGAAACCACAAGCGGTAAAGCAGTAAGAAAAAGAGCCATTTTCCGAAATCAACATTTGAGGACGAAAACTGGAAGTCGCGTTGTTCATCAAAAAAGCAGCCACTTGAGGGGGAAAATCTGAATGACATGCAAAACAGACAAACAATGTGAACATCAGCAATGCAGCAACACACACCGAAATCAGGGGAACACACGATTAAGTGAAGAGACTGAGGCTAAAATAGCACGAAGTAAGAAGTTAACAGTGAGAGTATATGTAATGCCGCACAAGTAGAGACTGTGCTAGGTTGGGAGATCTAAGAAACCACACAGCACAACAATAACCTAGCGGACAAAAACGGATCTGCCCTGTTCCAGGCTCCACCAGTGGCTGGGCAAAGAGATGAATATAGATCAATTCAACTAGTTTAAAGAGCAAAAGAAACGAGTAATTTTGCGTCTATGAAAGTGTACCGATTAAAACGCGAGCAGGAATAATCGAAACGGCTCTGCATGGTAAAAAAAAGGCTCAACAAGCTCAAAACGCGTGTGGAAATGAAGTGTTGGGTAACGTACAAAACCAATTCCAACATTGTTGCACCACTGTTCTTAGTGAGAAAATCAAAGATAGAAAAGCTCGAGACGCTTTTGCTAGAGTTCGTCATCGATGGCGCCGATGCGACATTACTCTCGTCCTGAAGAGCAGTGTGCAATGCAGTCGTACGTCTCGATTGACGGACTTAAAGAGGTTGGTTGTATTCTACCACCGGTGCCTTCGCAGTTTGGCTCAAATTTGGTGAAAACACCGCGTGAGCGATGAAGGTGTTCCGCGCCTTGGCACAGGAAGATGAAGTGAACCGCTCAGTGGTGCTGCTTCACGCATCAGGCTCCTTTGGCTGGGCCACGTGTCGCGCATGCCAGCCGACTGGATCTCGTGACGTGCGTTGTTTTCGCGCCGGGTGGTTGATAGAAGAAGAGGAAGGATGGCCAAATAATGACTTGGTCAAGAGGAATGAAGGCCGTTAATTCGAAAGTAGCCTCGACCAGAATCTCTCGGCTTCCAGGCTGGGGCCCGAACGACGATGATCGTGTTTGGCTGGATACACTTGTTCATATGGCTAGGAGATGACCCCCAGTGGCGCTGGTGTTGTGGGTCCCTTTGTCCCACCTTTCCCGCTTAGCCTCCCCCTCTAACCCCGATCTCATTTCTAACACAACATAACTTTGCGGCAAAATAGTCGGCTGCTAGCTCACGGAACAATGTTCATCCGTTACTGGTGGTTCAGCTAGCGTGCCTGTTGCGTGTTCTTTTACTGCCTTTTCGCTTATACTGCGGCACAACAGCTGAGGTGCTTCCCATCTCTAGCTAACGTGTATAGTAGTAATGATAATAATACAAGCTCGGTCACCGTCCTACGGAATCAGGTCAAATGGTCTCTTGCAGCTGGGCCATTCCACGCGTAGATGAAGCAGGGTGGTATGGGGCTGGAAACGCATTCAGAGTCTGTTACACCTAGATGAAGCAGAACAATGAAGTATATCGTAAGCAACGGTGCATATAGGAAACGTATAGAAGAAAACAGCAAGCAAATAGGCAAATAAGGTGTGTTGAGTCCAGTGTTCGATCAAACAGGGAGGGACCTGGCCAATAAGCGCAATGAGAGGAAGGACGAAACACATACATGTATTGACAGACACACACGTACATTCGCAGTCAGTAGAGGCGACACGGAACACTGGCTGAGGGTGCATCATTTCTTCCCCCAGTAATTGCAACTATGCAGCTTGGATACGCTCAACCGGTCGGCGGTCGCGGGTTGATCTGCGCAGCGGCGCTTCGGCTTCAGGTGGTGAGTCATTCGCTCACATGTCGTCCAATACTGCGGGTGGAGAATTTGGTTCACAGGTGAAATCGGATGTTGACGGCCTTGGCTGAACGTGATCCACTTGACGCCGCAGGATTTTGCCGTCCTCGATCTCTGCCTCTATGATCTGCCCGATAGCCGTTTTGACGACGGCTGTTTGCCACCCGTCGTCTGTAGGCAAGCGTATGTAGATTGGATCTGATTCTGTTACAAACCTGTTTCTGCTGCGAGTATCAAAGCTTTCCTTTACCCGTTCTTGTTTTTCGCGAAGTTCAGCTGCCATTGTTCCGTGCAGTAAGTCCAATCGAGTACGCAAATGGCGGCCGAAAATAAGCTCTGCCGGACTTCTTCCGGTGATATCGTTCAACATATTTCGGTAAGCAAAAAGAGCACGATCTAGACGCACACGCAATGGCGCACCTGTTTGTTTGAACAGCATATTTTTCACTGTTTGTACAGCGTCTTCAGCCAAACCGTTCGAAGACGGATGATAAGGGGCGGTAGTCACATGTCTAATTCCATTTGAGGAGAGGAAGGTGGAAAACTCGGTGCTGGTAAACACAGATCCGTTGTCATACACAAGTGTTTCGGGAAGTTCAAAAGTAGCGAACGCAGTGTGTCGTTTGAACATTGTGCTAACTGAAGTCGCTGTGGACAGAATGTGAGCATCAATCCATTTAGAATGCGCATCAACTACAAGCAGAATCACTTGACTTTCGAATGGACCAAAAAAGTCCACATGTACACGTTTCCAGGGCGTCTCTGGCCATGTGCAGGACTGCATCGGTATGTGGGGGACAGCATTTCGAGATTCTTGGCAAAGAATGTAACATTCATTGTCGCCATTCAATCCGGGCCACCATACATAGGAACGGGCCAGTGCCTTCATCTTAGCAACTCCTGGGTGTGCATCGTGAAGCTCGTTCAGGATGGCTGATCGCAATCTTTTAGGGATCACAACCCGTGCACCCCACAGCAAACATCCATTGTGGAGGCGCAGTTCCGTCATTCTATGGCGAAAAGGTGTGAGTTATGCAGGTGTGTTGTCGGGCCATCCAACATGAACGTACCGCGTTACAAGTGCTAATAACGGATCTCTGTCTCGTGACGTATATCCGTGGACGTGATCGGAGCCTTGTTGAAGAGCTGAATTAGATTCACAAATTCTTGCGGAGTAAAGTCTTCTGAAGGGACATCCGGTAAGGGTTGACTGAGAACGTCAGTGGCGGTATTCTGTCTGCCCGGAATATACTGAATCTGGTATGTGTAAGCAGATAGAATGAGAGACCAGCGGATCATTCTGCGGAAGGCCATTTGTTGAATTCCTTTTGCGTGCCCAAGAAGCGAAATAAGGGGTTTATGATCTATGTGAATCACGAAATGTTGGCCGAGCAAGTACTGATGGAATTGGCTGATACCGAAGATGACAGCGGCCGCCTCTCGATCGAGCTGAAAGTAGTTTTTTTCGGCTGCGGTTAAGGTTCGTAAAGCGTAGGCAACAGGTCGCTGCGAGCCATCAGGTAATTTATGTAGCAAAACGGCCCCAAGGCCGTAAGGAGAAGCATCACAAGTGAGAACAATGGGTTTCCGTGGATCGTAATGTACAAGGACCTCAGCTGACGCTAAAAGTTTCTTTACTGCATTGAAAGCATTATCGTAAACAGCGTTCCATTTCCACGGCTGATTCTTGCGCAAAAGTTGATGAAGCGGATGTAAGTGAGTTGATGCTGCTGGTATGAACCTAGAGAACTGAATGACTGCTCCTAAAAAGGAGCGTAGCTCGTTTACATTTTTGGGCGCTGGGGCTTTAAGGAGTGCCCTGGTTTTCGCTTTTAGCGGATACAACCCCTCGCGCGAGAGTTTGTATCCCAGGTATTGCACACTCGGTAAAAGAAAGTCACACTTTTCTTTCTTCAGTATCAGCCTGGAGTCTAATAGCCTTGTTAGAACTACATTCAAGGTGTGCAGATGTTCAGAAGTTGTGCGCCCGGCAATTAGGATGTCATCCAGATAGACATATGTATTTGCTGTCTTTCAATAGTGAGTCAATAATTCGTTGAAATATGGACGATGCAGAGCTTATTCCGAACGGCATGCGTATGTAGCGAAATAACCAAAGATGTGTGTTGATGGTGGTGAAAGCACGGGAATCCCTGTCGAGTTCAATCTGCTGGTGGGCGTGGCTCAGATTTAGTTTGGTAAAGTTCGCCACGAGAGGCGTAAATACCCTCAATTTTATGCAGTGGATATCGATCTGGCTGTAGTGTTTGGTTGATTGTAACTTGGTAGTCCCCACTGTGTCTTACAGTACCAACGATTTTCAATACAGGCACTATAGGGCAGCCCAATCGGAATACTGGACGGGTTCAATTGTACCTTCTTCTAGCAGTCGGCGCAGCTCAGTCTCGACCTTGTCCCGAAAAGTCTACGGTACGGTGCGCGCCTTTTAGAATCCCGGTGTTGCTTGTGGTTTCATTATCAATCGGGACGCGTAATTCTTCAGCAGGCCTGGCTTAGTTTGATCAAAAAGAGGTACATATTTTTGCAAAATCCCAGATAATTATAGGCAAGCTTTAACCATGTTGACGTTTGATAGGATGTCCGGAAGTCGTTTAATGTCATCGCGGCCAAGTGTGTTTGGACCTGGTCCCCAGAAACGTACACACGGATATGATCTGTCGATTGACGGTAGGAGATAAGTGTAACAAAGGTACCCAACACATTCACCAACTGTCCGGTGTAAGATCGTAGTTGTATTGTAGTGGGCTCTAGTTTTGGTAGTTGCGACAAGACATCGGGTAGTATCAGCGTAACTGGGGAACCTGTATCAATTTTGAAATCAACAGGTTGGTCATTTACCTGGATAGACACAACGAAAGGATTCTCTGCTATTATGTCGTGATTACAAACTGTTGTGGTGTTTATCCCCTTCTGGTTTAAATCCTCAGTAATGTGATTAGCAATTTTTGGACTTCCCCGTACAACGAAATTTCGTTTGGAAAGACAAACTTACTGGATATGTCCTCTTTTCCAACGAAACCAGATCGGAATGCTGCTCACCACAGCGATAACAACGGAATTCTCTGCACTGTACGGATTGAGAAAATGTTTGTTTGAGACTTTGTTTACCTCCTGTGAAATTATCTGATCGGAAGAGGAGAATACCGTTAGTTCCTGAACGAGATTAGCACGTTGTCGACCTATATCACAAGCTTTTTCCCAAGTTATAGTCTTTTCGTCTTCTGACAAAAGACACTCGCGTGCCTTATCGTCAAGTACACCAACGATCAATGCTTGTAAAAGTATTGCTTCCTCGAAGTGAGTTGGCCTGATCTGGTCATAGGCGCAATCAGGAATGGCAGTAAGGAGCACAGAAATACATTCATTTACAGTTGCACTCGGTTGTTGCCTCATGGTGTTAAATTTGTACCGGGCTGTGAATACGTGTGGTTTTGCTCCCCACAGTCGGTCAAGAGAGTAGAGCACAGCTTTTAAGTCATGTTTCGTGCGTAGCTGCAAACTATCAAAAGGTCGCTGCCCTTCGTTACCGAGATGGTGACGCAGTAATTTAATTTTCGATGCCTCGTCAATCGCATTGTTATTGTCAGAAAGCACAAGTAAATCCACGTAATTAGTGAAAGTAATCTTCCACGGCGTCCATTGCTGCGTCCTAGGCCTTTCCGCGGAAAAATTTCAAAACGGCTGAGCTGTAGTAATTGAATTTGCCATAAATGATCAAAATAACCTGCGCCAATTTGTTACACCCAGATGAAGCAGAACAATGACGGAGCAATGAAAGTATATCGTAAGCAACGGTGCATACAGGAAACGTATAGAAGAAAACAGCAAGCAAGCAGGCAAGTAACGTGAGTGCTGAGTCCAGTGTTCGATCAGACAGGGAGGGACTTGGCCAATGAGCGCAATGAGAGGAAGGACGAAACACACACGTATTGATGGACACACACACACGCGTACATTCGCAGTCAGTAGAGGCGACACGGAACACTGGCTGAGGGCGCAGCAGAGTCCTAGATCGTTTCTGTGCTGATAGATCAGATTTTCTCGTGCTCTCGTTAATCAAGGGTGATTATGATGTGATGTGCTGAGATCCAACCCAAGCATTCGAAGAGATATGGAAGAAAGAGATCATCACAACCAAGCAGGATGAATCAATCAATGCAGCAATAGTGAAGATGGGTAGTTCCAATGTTTGCGCATGACGTCTGTAGTGACAAAACTAGTGGTTTCTGTTCTCGTCCGCCGTGGAACGGCGGAACGGATATCTAAAAGCCGTGTAAAACATACTCTTATTCCGGAGCATGTGCTAGAACAGCTTCACGCATATCACATGTATATTGCTGCGGTACTTGGTTTCATTCCTGTTCAGAAAATCATTCATGTGCATTGTAATGCAAGTCCTCAGGTCGCGTTAGGGTACATGATGAACTTCCAAACGGTTCTTTGACCACAATGCTGTCCGCCAGGGGCATTCCAGTTCAGCGGTTATGTATACTTTGGCCGTAAACACCATTATGGAATGCTCCATTGTGAACTCACACGCCGAGAGGAAAATCGGTTGATTTAGATTCCGAAGACAATGTCATCCTACCAGTTGACAACCGTGAGGTAGTAGTCGGCGCCAAACCAACATATCGACATCCTTCGACACATCCACAGCATTTTGGTAGTGCATAGTATCGCCGCCAGAACATTAACCAAATGCTAGACACTTGACCTTTGAAGACTAGCAATTGTTGATAGTTCACAAATTCACAGGTCTTAACAACAGAGTTTACATGACTAACGAGGCTACCTCATATATTATGAAATCTAGAAATGATTACACGAAGCTAAAATACACCTGATATTAGGTTCCCCTTGGCCATGGCGACTGTATACGCACAATCAGGCCCGTCCTCCTTCACGACAGGGAATGCGCTCAGTTCAGTTGAGAGCTTGGAGCGCACCAAAGATCTTGATCAACGTTGCATTCGAAGCGACGCTCGCATAGAACGGCACCAGCGTGGTCGCAATGTGGCGGCGCTCAGTGAGCGGTGATGGCCAGGCTCTCTTGAATTAACACAGGGCTGAATAAGTTGGCTTGGCTCAGATTCCTATTATATATGTCTACCTACAGAGTATAGAGGATATCGTGTGGTTCACTGGATACAGTGGTGCATGGTCGATTGGAGCAGCTGCTGATCAGACAGCAGGAATGAAGCTTCGAATTACAATATTAACTCCTGCTGTTCCGTCTCGACTATAAGGGGCCTACGCGAGTCACCGTCGTTGGTACGAGACCCTCGATGGTGTGGATCACTACTTGACCAGTTAGGCGCTCAGTCATCTCAGAATGAGAGTGCATGGTTTGAGTGTGTGGTACCGAGTTATCTGTAGCGTCATGTTTGTTTTGACGTAGGGCGCGAAAATCACAAGGAAACTGCCATCAACGCCGTCGCAGTCCCAAACGATAGCCAGCTGTTTGCGGTTGTGCATCGCCAGTAAAGTCTTGGCGCTTTGTTTCGGGATGTATACTAAAGACTTCATCCTGTATGACAAGCGAATAAACAAATAAATGTTTTCTTCTCGATAGTGAAGCACCTGTGCAAAATATTGTTACATCCAAGCGCTGTCCGCGTCATTCTAACCAAGCACTCGTCAAGCGGCAGACTTTGGCGGAAAACATTTTTCCAAAAGGTTTCTCGATCGGGCAGACTCACAGTGCTGAGTATAGCCGATTCAGTTATGCTGAGATAATCAGTAGATTAAGGTACGCCAAAGAGTATTCCCACAATGGTAGATATTGACAAGAGTGAACGTACCAGTGATATATCAAAAACAAAGCAAGAAACCGTAGCTCCATCGGATGATAGGGCCAAATGTTTCGCACAAAACTACTAATAGAGCAGCGATACTGACTCCGTGTTGTGTTAGACTGATATTCCAACTACGCTATCCCCACCGACGAGGCCGGTTGGAGCATCACATCACAGGAACATTGTGTCGACCAACAAACGTATCACATGGTCAAAATTCCCGATCACCTATCATTTGTTGTTTGATCATCCTGAGAGTCCATCCAACCGCCTACAGGATAACAAAATATGATGATCAAATATGGTGTTTTGAGGCGCCACAACAATAAGAGACCATGATAAGTGAGACAGAAGGGCAGTAAGAGGAAAGACGAAGTAGATTAGAAACACATCAATATAAATGGGATGTATAAATCAACACCAATAAGCAAGTGATCGAATGTGAGTGTGACACTGACTGCGGGACTAAATTATGTAGTATGATGTGGGAAGCTTGAAAGGAGTGGGGCATCGGATGAGGCAGGCATATCAGCGAGAGCTACGAGGCAGTAAATCAGATGCGAACCGAACAACCTCCGCTATTAGTCGCACCAAACTCCTCGGATTGGAAGACGGTTTCAGTATTATTAAGAGGGCACACTACTGGCGGAACTGCGTCGTTAGTAACAGTTCTGGATAGACAATACACAAGAAAGCGCTATAAGAATGAGCTATACTGTGTTGTGCTCGTGTTTGACCTACACCCGATAAACCGTGTCACTGAAGGATCTAATTCTAAGACAGGGAGCGAGGAAAAGGGATGTTAAGCATAGAACGAGGAAGTCGTAAGAGCCTGTTCGAGTCATCCATCAGCTCCGGTGGAGGAAGGGATGAATCTCCTTAAAGTGTGTGATATCGGTCGGTAATGGGGTTGTCGTTTTGAACCCCAAATGTGGCTTCCAGTGATTGTAGAACTGCCAGAGTATAACAACAAAGTATAACAAAAAGTGATCAAAATCCGCAACAAAGTAACCGGGAAACAGTAAATGGCTGTGAAAAATGGCACTACATAATAAGGCGTTAGTAGTAGACGACATTCGTCCGATGTGTGTGCATCGACTAGTCTGCTAAGGGAAACTCTAAACAAAGCAGAATCAAAACTACACAAGTGCTGTGGATGCGCGTGGACTGTCCCAGCTCCTCAGGACGCCAACTACGGATGCACAAAATTCCGTCAACAACATTGCACCCGAACCTTAAACAACAGTAGGATAGAATTTTAGTGGTTCTTGCATTCGAAATGCGTTTCCGATGGATACGTACAGAGATTAGACACAACCAACTGATAAAGCACGAACCGAAGAGCTCGCTTCCAATAGATAACTAATAATGATGATTCCTACAACAGAACCGGAAACGTATATTACAATCACAATAATAACACAGGACAATTATTATAGACTACAACAAATGATACAAACGGCATAGTCAATATGTGGAGTTACTAGGCAAAGGGAACTTACGTGGAAGATATAGGCGACAAAGCAGATCGGTAGACAAGTTCCCGGACCATTACATAACACCTGTAATAAAAGACGGAAATACACCATGTTATCAGTGTAATACAACCGAACTAGATGATTAAACTGATCGGAGATAGTAAATAATTAGAAAAAGGTATACACAGTGTAAACAAGCCACAAGGAGCTGGTGACCTAATCACTATCTTTGCTTCCCGCACAACGTTTATTGAATCAAAATTTCACGTGTTTTGTGTATTGTTATCAAGATTGGTGGCGTGGCATTAGCATGCAGTCTCAAAGGGGGCAGGATTACGACATAGAAACAGCTATAAAATTTCAAAATCAGGCAAACAACCCTAAATGTTTCTATTTATACTCTAGCAACGACCTGAAACGGGTTGGCTCGAACGACGAAGCACTTAACACAAATGCAACCATTCCGCATCCAGGGACTGTGTTACAACGTTTCGCCGGCGGTAACTGTTGCCCGCAGTCCGCTCCACTTGGCACGCAATTCAACCGCGAAAACTAAAAGGTAAAGCTCGGTAGACGGGATAGTTTCTATGTAAAAACGGTCCCATTTATAGGTCAATCTATGTATGGAAGCAATGATCAATTCATCTTAGGCATTCTGGCCTCAACCAATCTGAATGTGGTCCGTTTTGTCGTATTTGGCCGTTTGTTCAAGCCAGAGCACGGTCCTCGTGCACTTAGCCGACATTCATCCGAGTTTGCTAGCCAGCCACCCCGCGTCTGTGTTCCGTATTTCGCGGGCTGTACGCGTGAAAGCCACCAGTTCAAGCTGCTCGTAGGGCATAGAGTCGTAGCGCCGTGCGAACGTATTAGCTCCGTTGGGCCGTCTTATAGACCGATCCGTCTGACGGCAGCTTTTGCTTAAAAAAAGGAGCACGAGCGGTTGGGCGATTGAGTTGCCCTCTGCTCTATTCGTAAACGTATCGTTAAAAAACAGGTATCAGCATCAACCAACTTAACTGGAACCAAAGAAGTGTATAATGATGGACCATCATTCATATGTCAATGAACCGTAGTTTGCAATCAGGTTTTGAATTACGGTTATGGTTGAAAACTCCGAACGTTCGCTCGTCTAGGTTCCGGTGCGCAGTGATCCAGCACACAAACTTCAAGCAAACCCCAGACCAATACTACATGGCCATAAGCGTGGATATATTCGTTGAAAAGGAAAACACAAAAAGCAACTGCGGACTCTCCTTTCGTTATCGTCTATTTCGCTCAGCTTCTGAGCTAAATCCTAGGTAAGTGATCGATGTCCTAACAATCTCTTGATGGTCTGGCCGTCGCAAAGCATAATCAACGGCGCCCTATCTGCTGCATTGAGCAGGGTGGACAGGGGTTTCGATGCCACTGCTCAGGCCTTCCCATTTTCTTATGCACCCTCTGGCGCTTTTTGCATCCCTAGCGTCCCGCTCCAAGTTCACTTCTACCACCCCGTTTTCAATCCCCCAATTCTTGGCCCTCCTCCACCTTGCTTAAATAGTCGCTTGTCCTCTAGTTTCAACTTACAATCGCAGGGCCTCACTTCAGTCCAGTCAACAAGTCCATGTTCACCCAAGCGGACAACGTCAGTTCATCCGTTTCCCTTTAAAGTCCTCCATCCTCCCTAAGACTCGCATGCCTCAACGCACGCACTTTGCTACAGATTGGCCAACAGGAAACACTTGTCCGAACAATCAAGATCTTATCGACCATATTTGCTATTTATCGGAAACGCGCCTGCAAGGTTTGAACTCCGTGCTTAACATGTGATCCCCCCACATGCGACACTAGCGGCACATTCTCATTACCCTTGTCTGACAATGACGCAGCTTCAAATGCAGGTAAAGCTGACGTCAGCATTGTTTTGAGTACCCGGGCTGATCGACTGGATCTCAGTCAACAGACGGATGGGCGCCATTATATTAGTTGGTTCGTCCCATGCTTCGAAGTCGTGCAGGGACAAACGCTGACTGTTTGTCATTGCGGCTTACGCTCCCACAAGCTGCAACCCTGATTCAGTGAAAGATGATTTCTATCAGCAACTTAACGCTTTCCTTCGTTACAGAAGAAGTTCGGATACTGTGGTGCTTGTTGGTGATCTAAACGCCCAAGTCGGAAATTCGCCCGCTAATGAGCCGCATCTGAGTGGCCAACATGGTGTAGGCTCCAATAATGATAACGGTGAGCGGTTGCTACACCTGTGTGAAGAGGCTCGTCTCTTTTGCGCGAGCACAAACTTACGACACAGCACCCGCAGAAGAGTGACTTGGTGCCCACCAGCCTCGGACCAGCAGTGGACGCAAAGCAATCACACCCCGATTAGTTACCGCTGAACAAGATGCGTCCAAAACTATCGGTCGATTTGAAGTAACAGCGTGGACTCCCATCACACTATTGTGTGTGCCGACCTACGGGTGCGTTTCGGTGGACGTCCGCAACGTCGCTCTGATTACATTGACACAAGACAACTGATGAAGCCAGGTATTCTAAATGCGTATCAAAAGACGTTGGCATCCGGGCTGAGTAAGTACCCACTGAACACCGTCGAAGATCACTGGTTGCACATTCGCAAAACGTTACTAGCAGCAGTCATGTCTTCATGTAGCAAATCGAATTACCAACATAGACAATGGGTCTCTACAAAGTCTCTGGAACTTATGGATGCTCGCCGACGTATCCCGGCGGGAAGCGAACGCAATGAGACTCGCAAATCCTCCAGACGAAACTGCGTGCTAGCCTAAAGCGACACCGCGAAGCCTGGTGTTCCCATCGTGTATCAGAAAAGGAAATACCCACTGCCGTTGGTAATCATCGTAAGTTATTACGTCTAATACGGGAAACAGGCAGCAGGAGACCTGGTGTTAGCGAAACAATACGTGACGAGAGTGGACAGCTGATCCACAGCCTGTCAAAACGCTTGGAGTCTTGGGCCGAATGCTTCGCAACGTAGTTTAACAAATGTGGGTTATCGCTTTCTTTTTCAAGCATCGGATGCTCTCCTTCATGGGCCGTCACCTTGGATCCGCCCTCGCACGCAGAAGTCGAATGTGAGATCAGATTGTGGAAATTGCATAGGGTCGCAGGGGCAAACAGAATCTCCCCAGCACTATTCAGATTCGGGAGACCTGCTCTTGTAGACGATTAACACGAGTTGCTAGCGGAACTTTGGAAGCGGAAAACTTCCCGACGGACTGGAACTGCTCCGTCATAGTCCCAATTTTCGAGGGAGGCTCGTTCAGAATGCGGAAATCATAGAGGGATCAATCTGAACTCAACTGCCTCTAAACTGCTTGCGTCTGTCGTTCACCACAGAATGACCGGTGCTCGTGAAAGCAAGATGTGCGAAGAGCAAACAGGAATTAGTCGAGATCGGGCTGCATCGACCACATCTTCATCTTACGTCAATTGTTGGAGTACCGTCATATTTATTGGCGACCTACGGTTGTCGTGTTTCTAGACATCAAAGGTACCTTCGATACGGTTAATCGATGTGCCCTTTGAGTCTGTCTAATCACGGAAGGTGTGGCCGACAAATACGTAAACATTATCAAAGCGTTGTATGCGCATAGTTCCGGCAGAGTGAGGGTTTATGCTAAGCGGTCGCCGCATTGAATATCTCTTGCGGTGTGAGACAAGGTTTTCCGCCATCACATTTCCCCTTCAACTTCGATATTGAAGAAGTCAAGGAAACAGCGTTCGTTGAACACGACCTACGTGTGGACCTCATTCCTGGTGAGCGACTTCTGGACTTGGAGTATGCGGACGATATTGCCCTTACCTGTGACAGCGCCCAAACGTGCCAAGCAGCATTAGACCGATTAGCACTGGCTGTCAATCAATTTGGGCTATGCTTTGCTCCATCGAAATGCAAAGTACTTCTCCAAGATTGGTAGGAACTCACCCTTGTGCTGACCAGCTAGAAGTCGTCGAGAAATTCAAGTACCTGGGCAGCTACATTAGCGTCCGTGGGATCGAAAATGAGATTACGAATTGTATAGCAAAAGTTTGAGGTGATTTTGCCAATCTGTGGAGCAGACGCGACATCACTCTCACCTTGAAGTGCAGAGTTTATAATGCAACCGTCCGTTCAACCCTCATATACGGTTGTGAGACCTGGCCCATCAGGTCGACGGACATAAAGAGGCTCGGCACGTTCGACCATCGCTGCCTTCGTAGCCTAGTTCATGTCTGGTGGGAGCACTGTGTGAGTAATGACCGTGTTCGGCGTGGCGTATTTGGTGCAGGAAGAGCAAGTGAACCGCTCAGCACCATTATATCACGCACCACGCTCCGATGGCTGGAGCACGTGTTGCGCATACCAGCACACCGACTCCCGCGACGTGCATTGTCTGCACGCCAGGGGTGCGGTTGGAAGGGGAGAGCAGGCTAAATGATGACTTGGCGTCGGTTGGTGCATCCCGACTGCCTGACTGGGGTTCTAAGGACGATGAACACGTTTGGTTGGCCACACTTGCTGATATGGCAAAGAGCCGGCCCCAGTGGCGTTCGTGTTGTGTTTCTTTGTGAATCCCCTTCCATTCTAGATTCGCCCTCCAATGCCGATCTCCCATGAAATGCATAAGGTAAGATTTAACATTACATTGCCTGCTTTTGAATTATTTTTTGTGGTGGAACATTTTTGTATCTTACCTATCAGTATTGCGGCACGTTAGCTGAGGTGTGTTTCTCACCCTCAACTAACGTGTTTGACGAGGATAATGAGTAAGGCGAAAAGTTGTCTCTGTGCTACCGCTTCTTGTTTGAGTGACACAGGTTGAATCACATGCATTTAACTAAGAAGTACCAACTGAACGCAGGGTTCGAAATGCTGTCCCTACACTCGATTCTATCTATGTTGTTGACCCGGATTCATTTAGGCAAGATTTAGTCAAAGACGACTGAGAACTCCTATGAAAGGAAATGGCTACACACAAAGACCGCAGCTACATGAAACCGTACTTTTCCTTGAACGGATGAGTAAGTCCAGGAAGGTCACAGAATCGTGAAGCAATCATCACCAATGTCAGATAACCTTGGTGAAATGC